TGAAGTTGCACCAGGGCAGGTTTAGGTTGGACATGAGGAAAAATTTCTTCACCAAAAAGGTTGTCAGGCTCTGAAATGGGCTGCTCAGGGAAGTGGTGGAGTCCCCACCCCTGGCGGTATTTAAAAGCTGGGCAGACAAGGTGCTTAGGGACATGGTTTAGTGGTGGGATGGCAGGATTAGGTTAACGGTTGGACTTGATGGTCTTAAAGGTCTTTTCCAACATAGACGATTCTATGATTCTGTTACCCCCTTGGGGTGCGTCCCTGGGTTTTGGGTGCCCAGCACCCCATGGCACCGCGCACCGGCCACTGCTGGCAGCTGGTGACCTGCTCCTGTGCCCGTGCCCAGGGGTAGCCGGGAGGGTGTCCGGCCGTGCCGAGCAGTCACCCCTGCGCGAGCTGGGGACACAGCACCTGCAGCCAGACCAGCGCCTGTCCCGCAGCCAGTCCGACATGTTCCCCCCCAAATCACCCACCCTGCTGCGGCCACTGGAGCCTTACGGCGGGGCCAGGACCAAGGAGACGCTCCCCCGCGTCAACCCCTTCTCCCAGCGCGAGGACCTGAAGGGGGGGAAGATCAAGCTCTTCGACACGCCGAGCAAGTCCGTCATCTCGCTCACATTCGACCTGCCGCCCCCGGCCCCGCTCCAGCTCAGCACCCCCGTGACGCCTGAGCCCGCCGTGGAGGTGCAGTGTGACTTCTCGGCCCCCACCGCTGCCCCCCGCAAGTGCCACTCGCTGCCCGCCTCCCCCGAGCTGCCCCGCCGGGGGGGCCTGGCACTGGGCATGGGGTCCCCCCGTCCTGACGATGGCCCCCAGCCCCCCGCCCTCCTTCCTCCTCCAGCTCGGGGGCAAGCCTCCCCTGCCAGCCCCGGGGTGGAGGAGCGGATGGACTGTGGCCCCGACAGCCCTGAGCCGCCACAGCCCCCACCACCACCCCTGAACAGCAACTTCATTCGCACAGCATCCTCGGTTGCCCGGCCCTGGCAGCCGGAGCCGCAAGCCCCCAACGGGCTCCTCTTCAACAACAACCACGTGGTGGTCAGCAAACCCCTGGCCTGGGGGAGCGGGCTGGAGCATGGATTCTCCGAGCTCAGCATCCCCTGCACGGCAGCGCTGGAGCGGACGGAGCGCACGGCCATGCTGCCCGGGCACGGCTCCAGCGCCGTGCTGGAGCAGGACGAGGTGCTGCCCTGCCCCGGCTGCTGCCTGGGTCCCTTCAGCTTCAGTTTCGCCTCCGTCTGCCACCGGCCGGCACCCAGCCCGCCTCGCTACCAGAACCTCAACTGCGAGGCCAAGAGCCTCCTCTGCCACGACCGCGGACGCCACCAGAAATCCCCAGGGCCGGTGCTGGCGGAGCCCAGCCTGAAGCTGCCAGAAGCACAGTCCTAGTGCCGGGGACCCCTGGGAGCGGGCGCTGTGTCCGGCCACCTCTCAGACCCCCACGTGGCCGCAGCTGAGCCAGTGCGAGGGCCCGGTGCATCCCTGTGGTCCATCCTCGCTCAGTGCTTGGTGGCCACTGGTGGCTGCGGTGCCCCATGCCACAGCTGCCACGGCACTGCCCAGGCTTTTGGGTGCCTGTCCTGCCAAGATCGGCCTTGGGGGGGCTGTGGGGAGCCCCAGGGTGGGCTGGGTCCCTGCCGGGGACTGAAGTGCAATAACACCCCTGCCCCGGGCGCACTCCAGCACTACCCTGGGCAGCAGGGCTGGTCCCCCACTGGGCCCCCGGGGCTCAAACCCTGGATACGGGACCACCCTTCCCCAAGGACTCACCCCTCTGTGGGGTCTCACAGAGGGGTGTGCAATGAGCCTGCTCCCCTGAGAGAACAGGGAGCCCCCCGCAGCCCCCTGGGATGGGGGGGTGAGTGGGGCTGGGATGAGGGCAGAGGGGTCAGTGTGTGTATGTGTGTTTTAGGGGATCCTGTGGGGCTGGTGGGTGTCCCCATGCTTCCCCACAAGCATGGGGAGTGCAGCCAAATACCTGATGCAGGGAGGGGCGTGCAGGGGGGCAGGAGAGGGGTGATGCCTGTGTGGCAGTGCATGGAGGAGTATTGCCAGTGCTGGGGTTGCCCCTGCCCAGCCAATGCCAAGGGCTGGGTGCTGAGCCAGCACAGCACCCTGCGTCCCCCCAGCCCAGCGGGTCAGGAGCGGGGTGCTGGCAGAGGGGCCGGGGTGCCATCCTGGCACAGGGGGGAAGGGGCCGGTGGGCAGCACGGCCAGGCTGCCCGGCCCCTGGCAAGGGTGGGAGCCGGCTTTCCTCCCTCCCGCACAATGCACTGGTGAATGCAGAACTCTTGTGGGTTTTTTATTATTATTAATAATAATAATTGCTAGTAATATATACCCAGCTTATTTAAAGTGTTCAATAAAAACTGAATGTCCCAGCAACTCAGGCTGCTGCTGCTTGTCTCCTGGGTACACATCAGACACAGAGGGGAGCCCAGCCCCAAAAGGTTTTGCATGGGCTCGCCTGGGGCTGCTGGGGAGCCCCTTGGGGGCCACAAGCCAGCCTGGCTCAGCCCAAGATCTCAGTGCCCCCAAAGCAGCCATCTCGGTGGAAATGGCTTCAGCCAAATTCCCATTTATTATTTTGGTTCTTTGGGCTCATGCCCTTGAGTCCATGTTTGTGGTGGTACACAAAAAAGCAAAGAGCAGACAAGCTGTGTCTCTTTATTGCTACAAAGTGGGTTCAGCCAGCAGACCAGACAGGAGTGACACGTGCCACCTCCAAAAACCTTGCCTTTAACACCCTTTTGCTCTTCAAGCAAGCTAATTCACATAGCAATTAATCGACTATATATGGCACACACGACCCCATAATAAACTGAGAGCATCTTCGCCTGGTTGAACATGACTTCCTCTGCTCTTGCTTGGCTGCAATGTTACATCAGGGCTATTTTGCGTAATCTTCTCATGTGCATGTGTGTAGTAACTATTTAAAGTCCCGATGACTTGTCTCGCAAAGCATCAATCCACTGCAAGTGCCGGAGCTGCTTTTGCTTTTGAAAGGCACCGTCACATTGTACAATCCTGAAGGTCATCGCTCTACTTTCTAATCAGCAAAAGGAAAACCCCAACTGCCAGCACAGGCACTGGCTGGTTTGGGCGCTGCTTCCCTCCTTGGGTGCTGAGGCTTTGCCCAGGCTGTCGGTTGCTGGGTTGCAGGAAAGCTGTGACCAAGCTCCTCCGGGGATGAGGCCACGCGGAAAGTCCCTGCTGTGGGGACGGGACCCGGCTGGGTGTGGGGCTGTGCTGTCCCCAGCACTGTGTCTTCATGCCAGAGATGCCGCTCGCTCCGCACTGGGGATGTTGCATGGCTGCAGCGCTGTGCACCAGGGCTTGCTCCGCTCCGTGGCTGGGTCCGGGCTCCCCGTGGCACACCAGCACCGGTGCTCAGGAAGACGCAGCGTACCCCATGCAGGTGTGGGGCTGAGCCATGGGGCCCGTACTGCTCTGTTGAAGCACATCAGCCAGGGGGAAATGGCCACTGCCACCACCTCCCCCAGCCTGCGGGGTGGTGGAGCAGCACTGGGCATTGCTGGGAAGGACCTGGGCAGGTCCCTGTGAAGGGGAAGGGGGTTGCCGGCGTGGATGGGACATCCTGGGCAGGGGTGCAGCAAGGCTGAAGCAGGGGCGATGCGGGGTGCAGGCGCTGCAAGGGAAGGCAGAGAGTGAGGGTCAGGGTGAGGTGGTGCCCAGCCTCCACTGCATGCGGCGGGGCTGGGAAGGCAGCGTGTGGGGGGGTTTCCCCCATCTTGCCCCTTTGCTGCACTACAGCTTGGGGGGGTCTCTTGAGCTACCACAGACCAGGGGCTCCCATGGCAGCAAAGGGATGGGGGCAGGCTCCATCCAGCACAGGGATGTGCCTGCATCACTCTCCCTTTCCAAGGGAGGGGGTCAGCGTGCCCCATGTGGATGCCCAGGCTCCCCGCTTTCCTCCTCGCACACCCCACGGGCTCAGCAGAGCCTGGCGTGGGCACACTCACCGCAGCGGCGCTGGGGTCAGCAGCCATCATGCCATGAAAGGAGAGCTCGGTCCCGCCGCCTTCTCACAGATCCAGAGCTGCAGGTCTTCGGGACCGGCGCACTGGGCGGGTTTGATGTTCCCGCGGCTTATTATGGCACAGGATCCATTCGACTTTGACTGCCACGGCCTGGATGGGGAAACGACGCATGAGGGGCTGCCACCACCCTGTCCACTACCCAGTGCCAAGGCAGCCACAGCTGCTGATGGCTGCCTCTTGTATGCTCGCACCGGAGGGGCTGAACGCTGCAGTCAAACTGGGGATCCCCCAGTCCTCCCCTGCTGATTTCACAGGCTGAAGCCTCAGCCAACGCATCCCTACCCTTCCTTGGGCAGGCTGAGAAACCCCTCTGCAAAAGGTTTGCGTTGCTTGAGACTCCCCTTAGCCTCCCCCCTGCTTGAATCTCAGCCTCGCTGCTGGGGGATATTTTGTCCCTGCAGCGCTCGGCGGTGGGGAGAGCCCAGTTCCTCCCCAGGGGCATGTGGGTGGCTGGAGGAGCTGCCCAGAGCCGTGGGGCCGCAGTGGGGTGCAGCCCCCCATGGCAGCGCTGAGGATGGAGGGGTGGGCAGTGAGCAGGGGCCGGGTACCCAGCACCTGACCAGACGGGGCTGTTCCTCCCCACTGCACTCAGACACCACAAGAGGAAGCAGCAGCGAGCTGGGGCAGGGGTGCACGTGGCGGGGAGGAGCCCAGGACCCTCTGCCGGTGGGAAGGCTTGATTTCCCCTCGCAGAGGGACCAGGGAGGCACGTGCGTGATAGAGGTGATGCTCGAATGCTTTGTCTAGACACCAAATAAAACTTGTGGTTTCTTTTGTCCCCTCTCTCTGCCTCCTGCTTGCGCATGCCCTGCACATGCCCCTGCCCCCGAGCCTTGGCTTTCCATCTGCACGGCCTCTAAAGCATCTCGTCACACCACTGCACCCACCTCCCCTCGGCCTCAGCTGCTCTGATGCTCTTTGTTGCCCAGTGCTTGTGCCTGGGACTGGGTACCAGCGGGATGTAAAACGCTTTCCTAAAGCCGTGCTGGAGGAGAGGGGGTTTCGGCAAGAGGCTGTGCTGCTGGGTACCTTTCATAAAGGGAGCCGTCCACCCAGAACCAGGCGTCTGAGACCCCCTCGCCTTCTGGGTCCTCTTCCTCCAGCCAGCCATAGTCGTACCAGGGGAAGCTGCTCTTCTGCAGCCCGATCCAATATGGGATGTCCGCATTCTTCAGGAAGGTCTGGGGAAGGAGAAAAAGGGACTTTTAAGTGGCTTTTCCATGGTACCTGTGTGCTGCGGTGTTTGCAGGCGGTTCTCATCTCCCCAGGGAGCCTCTGGGAGCTCATTGGGGCAGGACAGCTGAGCAGTGCCTGTGCCCTGCTCCAGCTTGGGCAGCATCCAGGGGTGCCAGACCCTCTCTGCCCCATGTCCACCACCAGCCATGTGCTCCAGAGATCAGCCTTGCACCCTCCAATGTTTTGGCAGGTCAGGGGCCCCCAGAGCAGTGCTGGCCCACCTGGATGCACCAGCTCCTGCCCTCAATTTCTCCAGCACCCTACCGGCACAGTCCAGCGACTCCAGGATTTGGTGACCAGGAGCTGAGCATATTTCTTCTCGCACTCAGCTCTGCTGTCCTCCCACGTCTTCTTCTCCGACGAGATGAAGAGGCACTTGCCCCTGTAGAGCAGCCAGCCTGAAGGGCAGCAGTCTGGGGGCAGGGGCACAGCTCAGGTACTTGCTCAGCCACAGATGCCCTGAGGGGGACAGGGAACAGCCCCACCTCTTCCCAGCAGACATCACAGCCTCAGCCTCTGCTCCAGGCATAGCTTGGGCCTTTGGACCACCCTGTCCCCACCGTGTGGCCAAAAAAGCCAGTGCCCGTGCCTTGGCATGGCACCTGCTGAGGGGTGCCAGTCCCTTGGGGCACCCCATCCCTGCTCCACCATCGCCCTACCTATAGCCGTGCAGGAGCGCAGGATGGCCACAGTGCTCTCGCTGCTGTTGAGCCTTGCCTGCACGTCCTGCATCTCCTTCTCCGTCCTCCCCAGGACCGCCATGACGCGCCCCAGCTCGGCGTTCAGGTTCTCCAGATCCATCTGGCTGCTGTTGCCCTCCCGCCACGCTCGCTGCAGCTCCGCTCTGGCCCGCGCCAGCTCCAGCTGCGTCTGCTCCAGGCTCTGATCCCGCAACCTCACCTCCTGCGAGAGGCGGCCCTGCTCGGCCGCGTGCTCCTGGGAGGCGTCCCGCAGGCTGCGGGTGACCTGCCAGTCTGGGGACAGGGAGGGTGAGCCAGGGCACGGGCATGGGACAGCCCGGGCAGGGGGGCACGGGGCTGCCCCTGCTC